CATTTGACCTTAACCGGTGTGATATTTTTCATTCTGTACAATTCCTAAGAGGAGAACACTTTCATAGGAGCGTGAGTGGCCTGTTGCTAAGCAAAATTTCTATCCATTTTACCCTCATTTTTCAGTGGTTATCTATATTGTACCCCGACCTTTAGCCCGGTTAGTACCGTTTACCTTTTAAAGGACCTACCTACACGTTTCTGTGTGTGTTACATTTTTATGTTGTGTTTCTGTTGTGTCGTAGTTCTCTTATATTTGATGTGTTTCCCTCAGTTTTAGTTTGTAACCCGGATTTGTTTTTTTCTCAGTCGATTTACGAATTTCAAACAGCGGTATACTACTGTTGCCTTTATTTATCTACCTATTGTATTTATTGTTAATTTGTTCTCGTCCTGACCATGAATGAAATATTTGCCACTGGACGTTAAGCAACCAACATTCAATCAATCCTTAGTCTTTATTAGCATCTTCCACACTCTATATGCCAGATAGCATAGTTTGAATCTCAAGTTTGATATCATTACACAAACAACAAAGAAGACCTGGCTGGTGGCTTACCACTATGTCAAAAATGTCCTTATGACATTTTCAGAATTTTATCAATGAAATATATGCTCAGATATTCAAGTTGTAAAAATGATGGTATACTTGTCAAGAAAATTACATAACTTGTGCAAGGTGGAGGAATCTTATACCTGTTCTATAAATATCAATGATGTCATTGATAAAGTAATCTTGGATCTTCCTTTGTCTATAATTGTAGTTAAATCAACTACAACCAACGCCTTATACAGTGCAATGTTTAATTTTACTCCCCACTGATGAATTCAAAAAATCTTTACCCGTCAGTGCTTACAAGCACTTTGATTTTAGCATAGGTTTACATTGTTTTAGAGCAGTCACCTCCTATGATGGAATGTGTATTGACGTATTTGATCTACAATTACAAAAACCAATTTGTTTAATACAGTAGTTGATTGATTGATTGATTGTTGGTTGCTTAACGTCCAGTGGCAAATATTTCATGCATATTCAGGACGAGAAGTTCACAATAAATACAATAGGTAGGTTCTGTAATAGGGGCGTCCGGGATTAAGGTCGGAGAAATTTAGACTGCCACGGGAAATGAGGGTATATTGGATAGGGACCGAAATTTAGCCTTGCAACAGGTCACCTACGGACCCCTCAAAGAGTTGTTGCAAGGGTTCTTAACGTACAAAGAGCGTGGCACTCTCTTTACACGAGGCATCGGATTTAACGTCCCCATTCTGACCGGACGTGGCTGCAAATTTGTACATCCCGCACAGCCAAACGGACGCCCCACTTTAGCATGGGTTTTACTGCCGGTCGGAGGAAGACCAATGGTGACCATACTTCTATTCCCCAGTCACCCTTGGGGTAATATAGTAGTTGACCATGTGTTGTTATATTTTTTTAAATGAGGATAAATCTGGTATCTTTTTCATTTGTGATTACACATAACACCAAACAAAATTAATATGACTTATATTTAATGACAATTGTACGTACCCTTTGTTCTCCCTTTTCTTTTTTTTCTTTTTAGTATCGGGGCTGATTCTACACTACTTTAAGGTTATTACGTAATTCTTTCCTGTTTCCTTGTTCTATTCTCTCGCTGTTGTTGCTACTTCTTTGTTCTTCTGTTCTCTCCCTGTTCCTACTTCTTTATTCTTTTGACTGTAGAAGTAATACTTTTTAAAGTTTTTTATATAAAATATGTGTCATTGATTTAATTTACATAAAAAAAGAGAAATATTAAACTTCCTCATCATTTGTGTTAAAACTTTAAAACAGATCTACTCTAACCTTGTTATGTTTATTTTCTGGACAATCTATAAAGAGATGTATCGTACTCACATTTTGATTTGCTTTTCTTTCATTTCCATTTCCTTCTAATTTATAAATTTCAGCAGGATCCCAAAGATGATTTATCATAATGTCGTATACATATTTATTTGTTTTTTTCGTGTTTTAGCTCATCTGGCCCAATGGACCAAGTGAGCTCTTCTCGTCACTTGGCGTCCGTCGTCGTCCTCCGTTATCTTTTACTATAATCTTCTATAAAACTACTGGGCTAAAGTTAACTAACCAAACTTGGCCATAAAAGAAGGGCGAAATATACCAGAGGGACAGTCAAACTCATAGATCGAAAATAAACTGACAACGCCATGGCTAAAAAATAAAAAAGCAAACAGAGAAATGGTAGTACACAAGACACAACATAGAAAACTAAAGACGTAGCAACACGAACCCCACCAAAAACTGGGGGTGATCTCAGGTGCTCCGGAAGTGTAAGCAGATCCTGCTCCACATGTGGCACCCGTCATGTTGCTCATGTTATTAGAAATCCGGTAAATAGTCTAATTCGGTAGGTCACATTCGTGGTAAAAAAAAGATAGTGGATTGTAATTACGACATAAGGAACATATCCGATATCATCTGTGAAACGGTTATTCCATAACGGTCAACCAACTCGTGATGGCGTCCTTAAAATTTACGAAGGGACGATTTCAACTTCACCATTTGGAACTCTTGGTTTAATAGCTTCCTTGTGAGTAGCAACCCTCTATCAAGGAAATCATGATAGGAAATACAAGCCCGGGGATATCGTATCAATTGGGAGATATATACCCCGTATGCAGGCCCTACTGGAATGTTGCTACATAGAAATGGAAAGTTCACAATTGGGAAGCTGAAATCATCTCTTTTGTCGTAAAGTTTTGTTTTCAACCACAATCATTCTTTGGGTGTCTAGTTTTAAAAAATGTGTCCGATTTCCCCGCCTACCAACCAACATGGCCGCCATGACTAAAAATAAAACATAGGGTAAAATTGCAAGATTTGTCTATTATTTTGAAAACCGTTAGGAATAGAGAAAATCTGACAGGAGCAAAAATGATCAAAATGTTGAGCTCTACCAATTGTCCGTACACGTTAAAGTTTTCAGACGACTTCTGAAGAATTATTGCCCTTAAATAACAAATGTTACCATTTTCTTTCATTTTTGACTATTATCTTGAAAACTTTAATAGATACAGAGAAACATTAAATTTTCAAAAATGATCAGCAAGAGATCTAAAAATAAGTTCACATTATCCAAATCGTCAGCCGACTCCTTATAAGAGTTATTGCCCTTTGATGATGAATTTTACCAATTGTTTGCCTCATATCTTAAAATTATAATAGATAGATAGAAACTTAAAGAAGCTAAAATTATCAACAAGACAAGCACTACAACTAAGACAATATAGAGGAAATTGCTCGATGTCTCGTTGGATTTATTGCCCTTTGATGACGATTTTTATCATTTTTTGGGGGTTACATGATAAAAATTATAAAAGATAAATAGACACTTTAAATCACAAAAATTATCAGCAAGGCAAGATCTATTAACTAGTCACATTTCGCTGCGCTGATATAGGTAGTAGGCTGTCACTCTTTATAGGAGTGATTGCCCAGCCCCTTAAATAAGGATTTTTTCTACCATCTTGTAAGTTTTGAGCAAAAACTTAAGAAGATAGATAATACAAGATCATCAAAACAGAGATTTTTATCATGAATTCTATTCTCGTCTACAATGTTGGAGAGTGTCCTTTGTTGAATATGCACATAGACCAAGGTGAGAGACACAGGCTGTTTAGAATGTATAAAAAAACCTTATGCTTAATTCTATTAAACTCTTTTCTGTAAATAAAAGTAGGAAATTTCTATATAATTATTGTTTTAATGGTATGAGTTCCAAATGAGCAACACAATGTATGAGTACCAAGAAAAAAAAGGAGCGGGGGCAGATGGCAAGAGGTTTTATAATTCACAATAAGAAATGAACAAGACATGACAGAATCGATACAAATCAAATACATGTACTATGTAAATGTGAAATAGTAGCACAATGATTTTATGAATGTGTAATCGAAAGTTAATAGTTTTGTTAATACACTGTTAATACACTTGAAGTTTGTAAATACTATCTGAGGTATATTTGTGATTTTTTTAATGCAATATGAACAGACTTGATATATATATGAAAGTTTGGATATAACCAAAGTATTATCAATAACTAAGTATGAAGTAGACTTGTTAATAAAGTTTGAAATAAAACCGGAGTTAAAAAAATACGGACAACTTAATCATTTGAGTGAATTAATATTCAAAGTAAATTACCAATACAAGAGAACCATAAAAAGAATCACACTAGCACAATTGGGTGAAATACCGCATGTGAAATCATCGAAAATACATTATCTTCAATACTGATTATTAAACATGTGCACGTTTTATGGCACCATTACCAATACAAAATGCATACACATGTTACACATCATCAAACAATATTAAATGTAACAACAATTTTCAATATATACATTAAAATGTACCATTTTTTTTTTACTATCAAAAGGTAATAATATCCTAGTTGTGAATCACCTCACAATAACAAGTTTAAAAAAAATATTTTCAGAATGTCATTTTGTGTAAACAATATCTTGAACATTTTAGGAATGTTATAAGTCGAAAATATCTAAACCATTTTAAATATATTTTGAAGTAACTGAAAAATGAACCAGAACTGAAAATATGTATGGGGTATTTGGAGTACATCTATCAAAAACTAATATAACATAGATTGATTGTTGGTTGCTTACGTCCAGTGGCAAATATTTCATGCATGTTCAGGATGATATATAAATAAAATCATACATATAAGAAGATGTGGTATGCATGTATAAACTATCATTTTTGTAAAGCTATTCAAATAAAAGTAATCATGTAAAAGTATTACCAAATGAAAGTAATCATGGAAAAATAATCTTTATTTTAATGCTGTGTATTTATCTTATACTTATCAAACACAGTTGAGTAAACACATATATGCAATACAAAACAAAATCAAGTATTGCATATAAACAAATTTAAAAGTCAAGTTTGTTTAATAATACATATGTCACACATTGTTTTGTACTAAATTGTATATTCAAAACTATTTAATTGTGTTGATTTCTATTACAGTTTATTAACGTGTACATTTCGTATGCACCAGGCATATTTAATTTATTCAATAGTAATGATCTCGAAATTCATAATGAATTTAAATGTCCGAAATATTTGTTTATACCTGAAACATGTTAGATTATAAATTTATATTTGTCGATACTTATGGTCAAGATTGAACTTAAATCTTACGGTTATTCAATATTTCTATTTGATCAATTATGTTTATTTCAATACACAAGCGTGTAAATAATTTCTCTTTGATGAACGGAATCAATCTGTTATCTAATTTCTGTTGACAAAATGACCATTTCTAACTTTGTTGTTAGCAACGCTATTTGGTATTTAAAGAAAGATAAATTTTTATTAAGGGACTCCGTTTGGATATGCCAACGAGAGCACATAAACTGCGTTCGGATTTTCCATCGCAATCATATATATTGTTTTTGGTTTAAAATAACTAATTTGTAACACTGATATTTTATATTTGGACTTTATTAAATGAATTTGGACTTTACCAATTTATTTATATTAATTGTATTGAACTGCCGACTTGTGTGTGAATAAAGAGCTAGTACCCCGCATTGTGAATCGTTCCCATAGACGGGATCCCACTCAAAGCCATTCCGGCAATATTTATTAGAGAAAGTGATAAATACTTTCTCATAAATTGGTGGAGTATCGAATCGATCTGAGGAACCTCTTGCAATACAACAAGCGAGTGGCATAGTAGGTTCAGGCGCCTACTCGTTGTAACAATTGACTATTTATATCAAATATCAAGATCAAGATGTTCACATAACATGCACACGTCGGCATGCTGCTGGAACGTTAAACCGTGGCAACCCTACCGAGAATTTCAGAAAGTGAGATCTGTGGAATATGGGAATACTTCCAAATCAAAGGAACATAACCAATCTAGAAATAGTCGTCACAAATCTAAAGCACAGAAACTTCGGGATATGAAACGACTTGATCAGTATCGACAACAAAGGGAAATTATAAACGAATTACCGTTTTCGTCGATAACCAAGAGTGATCTAGATAAATCAGTTCCAAAATGCGATACTAAAACAGAACAGATGAACAAGTTAAAAAGAGAAAATGAGGATTTGAAGAAGACAATATTTGTGTTGACACCTGCAAACGGAAATATTACAGGAATCATCCTTGACACTAATTCAAATTTGGATAACCAAAAATTAGAACTCGAAAGACTTTCAAACGAACTTCAACAGCACAAAGATATCGTTGATCAATATAAAGTATATGCTTTAGACATGATGAAATTTACTTCAAGCTTACTGGATGAAAATGAAATATTAAAACAAAATCATGAAAATGCTTCTTCGTTGGGACATTCGTCTTTCCAAAATCAGCAACTCCAAAATGACATACAAAGTGTAACAACGGAACTGAATAAAGCTATTCGAGATAAAAACTTTTGGCAAGATAATGCATTCAGGAAAAGTATGGAGTGTAATGATAGGTACACAGTAATAGATGAACTTGAACAAGAAATAAAACAACTAAAAAGTGACAAGTGTGGATTAACTAATGAATTCGCGACATGGAAAACAACCAGATAGAAATAATACAACAGACACTATAAAGCCAAAGAAGTAACAAACCATCAAAATTTTCACTCGAGAAAAAGACAATATCCACGATATTGGACTCTTGTTGAACATTTTATTTTACTATTATTCATTCAATGACTTAAATTTATAAATTCGGGACGAATTTTCTTGAAAAAGGGAATAGTTGTCACACATTATTTTGTACTAAACTTTATATTCAAAACTATTTAATTGTGTTGATTTCTATTACAGTTTGTTAACGTGTACATTTCGTATGCACCAGGCATATTTAATTTATTAAATAGTAATGATCTCGAAATTCATAATGAATTTAAAGGTCCGAAATATTTGTTTACACCCGAAACATGTTAGATTATAAATTTATATTTGTCAATACTTATCGTCAAGATTCAATATTTCTATTTGATCAATTATGTTTAATTCAATACACAAGCGTGTAAATAATTTCTCTTTGATAAACGGAATCAATCTGTTATTTAATTTCTGTTGACAAAATGACCATTACTAACTTTGTTGTTAGCAACGCTATTTGGTATTTAAAGAAAGATAAATTTTTATTAAGGGACTCCGTTTGGATATGCCAACGAGAGCACATGAACTGCGTTCGGATTTTCCATCGCAATCATGTATATTGTTTTTGGTTTAAAATAACTAATTTGTAACACTGATATTTTATATTTGGACTCTATTAAATGAATTTGGACTTTAACAATTTGTTTAAATTAATTGTATTGAACTGCCGACTTGTGTGTGAATAAAGAGCTAGTACCCCGCATTGTGAATCGTTCCCATAGACGGGATCCCACTCAAAGCCATTCAGGCAATATTTATTAGAGAAAGTGATAAATACTTTCTTATACATATAAAAACCCTAATACATCTTTTAAATACAACTTCCTTAACACCTTACACTTTTGGTGCTTACAAGCAAAAAATTAGAAGACAAGTTTTTTTTTTCTCTCCAATACTTGTAAAAATCCTAATACTTTTTGTACTTTTTAATACAACTTCTGTAACATGTTTGATTGATTGATTGTTGGTTGCTTAACGTCCAATGACAAATATTTCATGCATATTCAGGGCGAGAACAAATTACCAATAAATACAAAAGGTAGGTTCTGTAATAGGGTCGTCCTGGATTAAGGTCGGAGAAATTTAGACTGCCACGGGAAATGAGGGTATATTGGATAGGGACAGAAATTTAGCCTTGCAACAGGTCACCTACGGACCCCTCAAATAGTTGTTGCAAGGGTTCTTAACGTGCAAAGAGCGTGGCACTCTCTTTAGACAAGGCATCGGATTTAACGTCCCCATTCTGATCGGACGTGGCTGCAAACTTGATAAATCTGTTGTATCAGACATGTCAGGAGTTGTGATTATTTCCGTGGTATCAGGCATGTTAGGTGTTGTGTGATTTGTTCTGTGGTATCAGGCATGCCGTGGTATCAGGTGTTGTGATTATTTCTGTTCCGTTGACAGGCACTGATGTAAAAAAAAATATAAAAAAATATGTTTTTTGTCTCTTTGGTTCAAAATCATTCATAATTAGAAGGAAAGGTTCTATAAATAAAGATACATCTTATACGTTCAAGTATTTCACATCCAATATTTTATGGTAATATAATTTACAAAGCAAAAAAATGTCGGCATTCACCTCAAAAGCTAATCAAACCTTTAAACAGACTTATTCGGAAAGGATATAGTTACGATACTGTTGTCAAGTCATTAAGGATTGCATAATTTGGTATTAATATTGATTCACACATAGGGTCTTTGCATCGGAAATAAACACATTTATTCTAAAACCAGTTGTTGGCATGCTACGGGTTTTTTTCTCATATATTTTATGATGGTATGATACTGAACCCCTAACGGGAGGAATTGTACATGATTTTCATATGATGAATACATAATCTGGAGCTGGCATGTCAGTAACTGTTAGTAGTCCTTTGTTCATTATTGTATCATTGTCATTTTGCATAGTTTCCTTTGTTACCTATTCTGACATCGGACTCGGACTTCTTTTGAACTGAGTTTTACTGTGCGTATTGCTATGTGCTTCTTTATTATACCCCTCTTTAAAAAAGTGGGGTATACTGTTTTACCTCTGTCTGTCCTTCCGTCCCATGAATATTTTCGTCGCATTTTTCTCAGGAACTACTTGACAAGGATTTCTGAAGTTTGGTTTCAGGGTTTATATAAGTAAGTTACACCGTGTGGTGCGTTTTCAGATTCATTACTCAACAATTTCCTGTTCACCGAACACTTGTATTATTTTACACATGATAGCCAAGTTGAACATTTTCGTCACATTTTTCCCAGGAACTACTTGACAAGGATTTCTGAAATTTGGTTTCAGGGTTTATACAAGTCAGCTAAACCGTGTGATGTCACTCAACAATTTCCTGTTTACCGAAATATTTCGGCGGGGGTATCATCAGTGAGCAGTAGCTCACAGTTTTACTTGTTCTACATTGGCTAGAGGTATAGGGGGAGGGTTGAGATCTCACAAAACATTTTTAACCCCGCCGCATTTTTGCGCCTGTCCCAAGTCAGGAGCCTCTGGCCTTGTTAGTCTAGTATGTTTTTTAATTTTAGTTCATTTATATGTTTTGGAGTTTAGTGTGACGTCCATTTTCACTGAACTAGCACACAATTTTAATAAGGGGCCAGCTGAGGACCACCTCCGGGTGCGGGATTTTCTCGCTGCACTGAAGACCCATTGGTGGCCTTCGGCTGTTGTCTGCTCTTTGGTTGGGTTGTTGTCTCTTTGACATATTCCCCATTTCCATTCTCAATTTTGTATTCATGTAAAACAGATAAAAGAATATTACTACTTATTATGATGTAACACTATAAAGGTGAAAAACGTACAACATGAATAGTTAAAACATTTCCATTGGACATGTTTTATAAACATTACATACAATTGGTGTATTGTTCACATATATAATGTAACAACAGCAGAATTCAGTTTTATAAACATTATATTCAATTGGTGTATTGTTTACATAAATAATGTAACAACAGCAGAATTCACTGTCTATTTTGACAAGAAAAACATTGTAATGAATACTTTTTTCCATATTCAACAAAAGTACAATCTTCCTTCTAATATTTACACACGTGTAGTGAAACCATTGATATGGGCATTCAAAGTTTTCAAATTTGATCATACGTTCATAATTATTGTTAAGAGCAAAAATGTTTCGTTGGTGTCATCTGTACTTGGAACTTGTGGCTGGTTTTCAATGTCTCGAGTAATAAGCTCTATCACAACATAGTGTGGATAAACCTGTAACATTTCTCTATCAATGAATGACAGAAGTTAATGACTATAAGTACTCGAAAAATAACTATGATTGGTAACGGCTTCAATTTTGTATATATGACAAAGTGACGGAAATGTACTTGCAAAAATGCAGATATGGAACATTATCTGAAAAAAATATCGGTGGCTTGTCTTTAAGTGTAGGTTTTTGTCGAGACTAAAAGTGGAGTAAGTTGCTTCTGCTTGTTGAAGAGTTTTATCTTTACGTGCATAATGAGACTTTATCTCTATAATATCACGGTGACAACACAGATAATTAGTATTGCTATCTGGAATTGCTGCAATATGTTTCAACCGCTTACATAAAAGCCACTTTGAGTGCATGTTAAATCTACGTGATGTTGTGTCTAGTGTCTTGTATAGCTTTGATGACATTCTTCTTCGTGGTCAATACCCCATTTACTAATAACTGACAACTTTGAACACATGTTTCGGCAAAATTTAATTTAGTTTATCTGCGGGTACGGTGTGTAATGGGGGACGTAGCTGGTGATGGTGGCGATCTAGTCTAATGGTGTCATTTATAATCGAGGCTGGTATGGAGATGGCTTCTGGTCTGATGTCGCTGTAGTAGGTGGTGTCAGAAATTTACTACTAGTAATATCATTTCCGTTCGAAGAGGTGCATATGTTGTAGATCTTACCAGAAAAATCTATATAATAATGATCACAGGACCACAAAAAATTAAAACACCAATTATTTCTACAGAAAGTGAATGTTTAAATTGAAAATACTTCCAACACCTTTTATCATACAATATTAATCCTACAATACAATTTGTAGTTGTTGATTTAGGTGTCTGTCATCAAGATGTTTTTAGCATATGTTTAAATAAGAAGTAGACAGTTTAAAAAAAATCATTTAAACATAGTTATTTGTTGATTTGTTGATTGACAGAAACAGAGGTATATTAATAGAACTCTTGGAAATTTTCCCTTAGAAAGGACAAAAATAGTATTGCTACTGTTTTATTTCCCTTAATTTATTAATCATAGTGTTCTCTGCATAATCTAGATCTTCCATATTCAGATAAATATAAGAACAAGTCTTTTTTTTTCTTTTCATTACCGTAATATGATGTTAAAGTTGTATTTTTTCATCATATTTTGACCGCTGTCTGATTTTGTTAACATGGTAGTGTTTATTTTTTTCGGAAAACATATATTTCAATATTGTTACGTCTTGATTTAAACGTTACCATCCTCGTTTGCTTTCTTTTGCATGTTAGGTTTTATTTTCGCTTACAATATGATTACTTTGTACAAACAACAGGTAATAGGTTTTCTCCTTATACTTGATACCTAAGGGTCGTTTTTAACCTATTATGCTATAATACTATAACGGTTTTGATAATTATTGGAGATCTTACCATATCCTTTACGTTTTTACTTTATCTAGTCTCTCATGCTCTTCGTTTCTTGTGTCATTGGTAATCTACCACCTAATTAATTTTATATCTCAAATTATTTTATAGAAGTTAATAGAATATCTATATACTGGTAAACTCAGACTCCTGAAACCTCATTTTTGAAAATTGCACACACTTCTATTGAAATGGGCCAAAGGGCATTGTGCAAATCATATATCCATATATTGTTTTCCCGCCAGTTTTTTTCTAATCAATTCGTATTTTTTTACATTAAAGTCTAGTAGAGCATATGGTAATGCTTTCCCAACGTTAATACCAACCATGTAATTCAGTGTCGGGTGAAAAAGGCTTTGTTAAACGAGTGATTTTGTCAAGCGTAAGATAAAGATTGATTTATGGTTGCTCAACGTCCAGTGGCAAATATTTCATGCATGTTCAGGACGAGAACAAGATAACAATAAATACAACAGGTAGGTCTTGTAAAAGAGGCCATCCGGGATGATGGTCGGGGAAATTTGGACTGCCACTGAAAAATGAGGGTTTTCTGGATAGGGACAGAAATCTTGCCTTGCAACAGGCCACCTACGGACCCCTCAAAGAGTTTTTGCAAGGCTTCTTAACGTGCAAAGAGCATGGCACTCTCGTTACAGGAGATATCGGATTTAACCTCCCCATTCTGACCGGACGTGGCTGCAAACTTGTACATCCCGCACAACCAAACGGACGCCCCACTTTGGCAAACGTTTTACTGCCGGTCGAAAAGACCATGTGACCATATTTCTATTCCCCAGTCACACTTGGGGGTGGAAGATAAAGATAAATTGTATCCAACTTTCTATGTCTAATTCTCAGGTTCCCATATCTGTTGTTGTCCATACTTGATTGTCCCATCGGGTTTCTCTTACGCCTTCTTCATTATACAAGAAAAGATAACAGGAAAATCACCACTGCAAAACAACACAAGAAGATACTCTACATCACTAATCCTAATTCAAAGCAATCAAAAGAG